CAAACAACAAAAAAGGGGTAAAAAAGGTCAAAAAAAATGGACCATTCTACAAGTACATAATCATTTACATAATACATTACATAATTGACATGTGACGCACATCCATCGATAGTCTACAATTTTTGACTTTTCCACACTTCACATCCACGGTCGAATTTCTTCCACATGGACCTATGTAATCCATTATATACAATAATTATGTACATATATATTTATCCGAAAAAAATTATTCTACACATTTCGGTCAACTAGGCAAGTACACTGGGGCCCAGTAGATGTGATAGAAAAATGCATTATTTTGGCCATAAAGACTAGGGCTGTAAGCAAAAACCGCCAAACCGGAAAACCGAACCGAAACCGCAATTTCGAAATCGGGGGTTTGGTGCCACGTGGACCCGTCAACGAAATGGTTTTGAACCAAACCAAATCGGTCAAAAACGGTTTGGTTTAGGTTTGGGAATTTTAATTATGGTTTGAATAACAAGAACCTTTTAAAAATTGGGTGGAAGTAAATTAAAATAATAAATTCTCTTCATATTTAGGATGGGTTAGGGGTTAGGCGTTTCGGGTTGGGTGGTTGTATGGATCGGAAAAGATGAATATTTTTGTCCATTGATAAATTTTTGGATGAAAATCGTTATAATTCATTCTGTCGCATATTTATTAAAAGTTTGGGTCCTCCATTGCATATTTTGAAAGGTTTGAAACTTCAAATGCAAATTATATTTTTTAATTAATAAAAAGGTTAAAAGATCATTCATCCTTTTAAAATCTGGTCAAACATTGACTTTTGGTCAACTAATGATTTTTTGATGAAAATTGAAAATATGTCCTTCCGACACACCAATTTGAAAGGTTTAGGACCAACTCTGTTAAGAATCAAAGGTTTAGGTAAAGTTTGCGTACTTTTGAAATATTTAAAACCGTTGTTACAATTATTCCAGAAAAAAAATTTACTTTACCATTTTATTATTTTATCAAATAATCACATGTAAAGACTTTGCACTTTCTATTTTTAAAATCAAGTTATTAACTACAATACAATTCTTTTATTCAACAATTATTCAATATTAACTTAGACAGCATCGCTTCTTTTCTATGGTTACTGCGTTTATTCATTTTCAAAGAGTTTTGTTTGTTGCTTTTCTCTCCGGTTTGGTTTAGCTAAAAAGTTAAATGAAAATCAAACAACTGATTTTAATCACATATTTCATGAAATTTACAATTTTTATAAATCAAAACTTCAAATCGCTAGCATATTAATGTTTACCGATAATATTATGAAAAAGAATAAAATAGTAGAGGTTAAATTTTGATAAATTAAAAAAATATATGATAGAATGACCACAATTTCGTCGAAGATACCGACGGCCTTAGCCGCCAATGACCGAAGCACCACCAAAATGAAAATTTGTGATATCTCGAAAAATAAATTTTCAAAACATAACAAGAACAATTTTGTCTTAAAAGAGACATCAAATCAAAAAATCATTTGGAACTAAAAATTCGTGAGTTCAATTTACATGTTCAACTTGGTACACAACACAAATAATGTACAGATTTGCTTCAACAAACTAAATAAAAAACATATAAAAAGAATGTAGAATGCATACAGACAGGTGATTGCAAACGGGGATACATAGCTATGTCAACGAGTCAAGCCTGAGCTCAAAAAAAAAAGCTCGGGCTCGGCTCGAGCTTTTTTAGACCGAATTTTTTTGGGTCCGAGCCTAGCCGAGCTTTAAATGAGGCTCTGCCCGAACCTGAGCGGTCCGAGCTGTTCGGGGTTTTTTTTTTAAATGTCAAATTTACATTTTTGCTTAAAAATTTTAAAATTTGTACGATTTATACGTACTATAAATTAAATAAAAAAGCTCGGGTTCGATTCGAGTTCTTTGGACCGATCTTTTTTGGGCCCGAGCCGAGTAAAGCCCGGCCAAAAAAAATGAGGCTCGGTCTAACCGAGCCAGGGCCAGGCCCAGCTCGAGCATTTTCCTAGTCGAACCCGAGCCGACGAGCTTTTTTGCCATTCCTAGATACATGAGATAAAGGGGGGTTTTCATGGCTCAACAATTTGTTGATTAAACTTCAATAATTATCAGGCCTGCAAATGTATAGTAAACTATGGGGGTTTTTTTTTCTTTTTTTTGTGCTTGTTTGATCCCAATTTTGAACCCATTTGTAGAAGAATTTCGACCATTGATGACTAGTTTTTTTTTTTTTTTTTTTAATTAAATTGTAAGTTATAAGTACCCAAATATTTTTGGAAC